TATTATCCCATAAAGCATGGGAAGATATGAGAAAGCACTCGAGGAAGCAGGCGGCCATCCAAGTACCAACTGATGCTAGCGCAGACCTTTCTCCAGATAATTATTCATTCATTATCTCTTTTACCTTTTCAAACGAAACTCTTGTTTGCTCATAGCCAGTCCGAGTGCCATGATTACTTGTTTGCCGATTTTCACAACACAACTTCCTATCATTCGCGATATTTAGAATAGCAAATCCTCATTCAAAATAAGACTTTAAAAATTATATCGTCCAAGGAACGAAATTCCTTGTTGCTGCTCAGTCATGGGATCCAACTTACTGTTATGTAAAACTTCACCACGCAACTCATGATTTCCAGTAATTTTTTGAACATTCATCCAAGAGGGTGGAACCAGGCTCTATGCTTTTGGTGAAATGAAGATTATTAGTAGTTTAGAAGATATTTATTCACTCTGTGGAGAAATCCAAAGGTATGCCTTCATGACAAAGCAAATCTAAGTGCCTCAGGCTTGCATCAATCTCCAGTCATCTCCCTCATTGCAGTGGTCTCCTGTCCTCGTGCTTACCATGTTGTGCACACCGAAGCTGGTCTTGACCACTCTCAGATTTCAGAAAGTTACTAGTATTCGTTTATTCCTCATAAGAGTTATTCTGAGCAGAAATAAGCCTTTCGACCTGCGAAGAAAAACCTGAATCATCTTCAGAATAAAAAATATAGAAACCACCTTGAATTTGAAACAAGTTGAGGTCAAAGAAGTGAGACATATCCTGTACATACCGTGAAGAACCCATAAGCCGAAGTTCGCACGCTCTCACATCACACATGATACATCCACGTCAAACCAAACATGCTATCCATCCATTCTGGGTCGATGGGGAGGAATTGATGACATGAACAGTGACATGATGAATGAATGGGGATGAATTGATGACATGATGATGACAGTGTAGTGAACATGAAGAGTATAAGCTAGCCTTTCAACTCAAGTTATGCATCGGCGAGAGACGTAAGGATAAGGCAATGGATAAGGCAATGGTAAGGATAAGGCAATGCACAAAGATTAATTGATTAAAATCCTAAATTCAGCTGTGCATACTGGCATTCTACGTGTTTTCCACCGGAAATGGAAGTGGCATATACGAAGTGCAGTCAGAAAGTCCGTGCCGTTTTACTGTAATTCCAAAAGTATGTCAAGTTTCGCAGAGCCACTTCTCAACGGTTTCCTCTCTCTACACCCAGTTGCCACCTTTTTAACCAGTCTTTATCGCATTTAGCAAATTAATATTTGGGTGTATGTTTGAACACTGGTAGACTGCAGAATCCAAAGCTTGTCTCGAAGGATATTTCTTTCCTCGCAACGAATCCTTGAGCTTGCCAAACAGCCAGAAGTCACTCCGAGAGAAATTGGCGAATAGGGTGTAGCGAGAGTTCAATACACCTTCCAGTCAAAAAAAAGTCTGTGCAGTGTGCGGTGATGCGTTTTCTTGTTGCAAGATGAAATTTCTATCGGCCAGTTCCGGGCGCAACTTGTCCACTGCCGGCAAATATGTCGTTTCCAGCAGGTGTCGGTAAACTCGCTATTGATGGTTAGATTCCCCGGAACAGCATGAGCCAAAGTCAAAACCTTGTTTGCGCCAGAATATGGCATGCAAAATCTTTTCATTTGAAGCAACTCGTCTTAAAGTCTTGGATGGTGGGGAATCGATGTTCTTCCATTGGTTTGATTGTCTCTTAGTCTCGGGATTGAAAAGAGAGACCCATGTCTCATCCATAGTGATCACACGGTCCGTGAAATTCGTTGGGCCCGCCGCATTTCGTGCCACCGTCCAGACGGCTTTGCTTCATGCCCTCGGAAAGCACGAGGCAAGCGAGCGTGCATACACTTAGATCGTGTTCAGCTCATCGGACAGAATGTTTCCAGCGGTTCCGTGGGAGAGTCCCAGATTTCCTGCGAAGGCGTTGATGGACGGGCGTCGGTCTGACATCACCAGATCTTCCACACGTTGGATGTTTCGGTCGGAACTCGCAGTTCTGGGCTTCCCAGAACTGCGAGTTCTTTCATGCGAGTTCATCTTTGGTGGAAACTCAATCACCGATTGGCCTTGATATCGTTACGCACACGGCCGCTATGGGCTAGCAGCACGCAGAGCCGTTTCTAGAGGCGGGCGAAGCGGGCGATCGCCCGGGGGCGCTGCGCCAAGAAACACGACGTAAAAAAAATGATATCCAGATTTTTAAATGTGGAAGACGGGTAGAGGTTCGTGCGACCTCCCCGAGAGAGGCAAGATAGACTGCACTATGGTCTACACCTAGACACCTAAATGTGTGTCCTACAAAATGTGATTTTTTAATTAGTGTCGTAATATAATGTTGTTGTTAATGTTGTGTAATGTAATATAATATTGTTTTTATAATTTACAAATGTAACAAAATGATTTCCATCAGTCCCCTGTCAGCTTCCGAGGATAAGGCCCTAACCTCCAGAGTTGCGGTGGTACTTTGCGCCACAATTGTTGATGGGGTGGGGAGAGGGGGTGCCATTGGAACTCTTTGCCCTGGGCGCCAATATGCCTAGAAACGGCCCTGGCAGAACGAACTTTCTGACTGCACCTCATGTGCCATTTCCATTTCCGGTGTAACTTTATCTGACTTCAATTAAATAATCTCATGGTGGAGGAAGTCGATGGACATACCTAAGCAAGGTCCAGCTTGTTGGAGCGTGACGATATCCCATTCTCCATTCCTTCCACAGGTGACGGCCACTTGTGTTTTTCTTACATTCTGGAATGCCGTTCCCGCAGGGCAAGAATAGGTGACCGTTGACCCAGCCTTGCGATCCGAACACTGTATTCAGGAAAGACAAATATGGCCGCGAGAGAATGGTTGACTACGGAATCTCAAAAACTGTATTTAAAAAAAGAATAATAATAATAAATATATAAGCCAACATGTGGGTTCCAGTCGTAGGTGATGTCGTCAGAAGGGGGCGGTGGTGGATCTCCTTGGCAGTCTAAGAATATAAGGAAACAAATTTCATAAGCTTTCTTGATGTAATTTGAGGATTACTCGCAGGCATTGACCACAGGAGCACATTTCTTTCCTATAGCGCATTTCTTTCCACGAGTATTGCAACATTTTTTTTTTTAGCTTGCAGCATTCAATGACGATAGAGTCTATAGGACAGGGATGAGCAACCCGCGGCCCGCGGACCTACTTCTTGCGGCCAGGTAATGGATAATGGGATAAGAGATAAAATAAGTTTCGTTGTGGACCCAAGGCCCATCACAACTTTGGTAATCCCTTAGTAACCAGAAATAGACTGAGTCCTTTTACTTCCTTCTCTAATTATTCCTCACGCGGGCGGTGCTACAAATGTCCCGAGGAAGGAGGTTCTCGATGCCAAAGACCATTTTCGGGAGTTGGGAATTTCCCAAGGGAATTTCCGTGGGGTAGAGATAAGGGTCATCGGCCAATCAGCGCGACCTTATATACCCCAAGGGCAAAAGAGCCTTTGCTTTTGCATTCTAGGACCCGCGTGAAGCTCAGACATTTCCATGCGGCCCACTGCCGATAAAGGTTGCACACCCCTGCGATAGGACTTATTGGAGCGGAAGACGAAAGAGACGCAAAAATTAATATTATAGCGTGATGCTGACCTTGGGGAACACATACGGCGAAATCGTCCAATGACGAGGCGTTGAATTCCGAACAGAAGTGCTCCTCTAAATCATAACTGGAAATTGAAACGACTTCCCCTTCTGCGCATGGAGAGCTTTGCTTTAACGTCACGTTCGGTATTGGCGTTCCTGTAAAATAATCAATCAGCTTCAGGAAGAAACCACTAATGAATCAAGACGTCCAAGTGAACAGTAAGAAAATGTTCCGACCGGAAGAAGAGAGAGGGGTGCATGATCCGGCGTTCAAGAGAACGCTTTCGTTCCAAAGTCCATATGGGCCACACGCCACTTCAAGCTTTGGCGAAAGTCCTTTCTCGAATACAAAACCAGGGAGGCAGCGATATTGGATCTTCTCGCCTTGTTTATATGAATCTGCCTATAGAAAGGAATGCCAATTTATGGGAAGGGCGGGAGGAATGGCCTGAAGCGTGTACTGTCATTATCATCGCAGATATCTGCTTCCTAGCATTGATGGAACTGAATCAGAACTTAACACGTTGACGACCAGCCTATTTTTGCTTGTCCGCCGCGTGGGACCAAGCGCATTTTTTTTCTCAAAATTTACGCAGGACGGTAGTCCTGCGTACCACCCAGAAAACATTTTTTTTGCCGAGTTTTTTTAAACTGTTGCATTTTTTGGAATTTTTATCAGTAATTACGAAATCATAATCTTCTGGAACGTTCTCAACAGTTCCAGAGGGTATTCATTGAAAAAAATCTGCATCCTGGCATCAGGACGCATTGTTGCCAATGTGTTAACCAATGCAATACCATTTAAAATGACATTTTTCCATGTTGAAATGCCATTTGGCACACACTCAGCTACAGGTTTCATATGATAAAGAGAGATGTTTCAGAGCCAAGAAAAACTTGGCGAACTTGATAGAATCACCGGAAGGGCAATAGGTTTCTATTGGTCCCTTCCAAGTTCAGTTTAATGTAATGGACATTCATGGACAGAGAGGCGAGTCCTTGAACAGCTACAATAAACCCTGGAAGTCCTTTAACAAGCCTCTTGAAACTATTGTAAAATGCCAGGCAGAGGAAGGCTACAAAAGAAAAGATGCCAGAGCTTGGCTAGATTTTTTTATGCTACTCAACCAATTTCATCAGGGTGTTGTTATCTTAGGTGGGTTTGATTTCTTTTTTTGCCATGCTACATTTCAAGTTCAAGTTATATATAAACTTGAACCTCAAGATAGAAGAATAAACTCAAAAAACAGCAGTAAATATTTTGCACAAACATTAATTTTAACTCTAACAAAAAAAAGTTCTAACTCTGGTGGTATACTACTGTCTGAGAAATTCCCCACTTAAGGGGTTAATCCTTAGCTTTGTTGGGGTCAAAAGTGGCAGTCTAGGAAAAAAAAACCATGAATTTCAATGTTTAACATTATTCTCACTTTGGTAATTTTTATACTTCAATACCTATTCACTTTGTTTTTCTTTTCAAGATATAAAATTAATTTTGCAGGTTTACTGATTAACACTTAGAGCCCTGCAGCTGTCATATGACATCCTACACCCATAAATTAAGAATTCAAAATTGCCTGGACTCAAAGTGTTAGTCTTCTGTCTTTCAGCATATAAATTGATTTTCTATTTAAATATTTTTTCCCCATTTGTTTTAAAACAAATGTAATTGAATAAAAAATATGTATTAAATAATGGTTCAAAGTACTTTAATTTTGAATAAAGTTAGTTGCTTCATAACCAGTCAGTTATTTAGTTAACTCTATGATTACCTGATATAAAACTATCCAGTCTGCACATTACAAATATTATCTTGAATGAAATGCATTCTGTATAGATCACCTGAAGTTCTTCATCCCCAACTAGTTCATTCTCATGTGAGTCTATGGCAATGTCCTCAGCTAGATCTTGCATCCACCGTGCTTCTGATGGTCGAACATCAATCCACTGTAAAGTGAGCAGTTCATAAGTAATTTGAAATTCCAACCTCCCTGTCTTGAGGAGCATCACACAAAATTAGGTACATGACAACCAACTCTGTCATTCCATTGGCAATTGTCATTGTTCTATCAGTTCTAATCACATTAATGTATATCTGATGAAGATAAGAATCAATATTCTATTAATGCTACATGGCTCAGGTAAGAGGCAGCTTGTTCAGCAGTGACACCTGTGGTTCTCTATTTCTATACTTCTTCTATACTTCTTTACTTGTTCCCTATTATCTGAACAACTTATTTTTATTGCAACATTTCTCTGGTCCTAACTTACCCATATCTTCTTATAATGTGGTACAATATAAGGGAAAGTGCATGAGGATGCCTTGCTTATTGTTAGTCCTTAATGGTCTTCAGAATTTACTAAATTTTTGTTTGGTCATGAAATATGCCAATGTTATGGATAATCACAGTTCAATGCCAGGAAGTCAAAGAGATTCTGGTAATCAACTTCACATGTTAGTTTCCCAAGGACTTGGAGGTTATGTAGTAGACACTGGAAAAATTTAATGACTGATAATAATTTAATGATTTGGAAATAATGAACTCTTGAGTCATGGTACATAGGGTGGCCATAAAAACAAAGAGCCAAGTAATATGTGGACTTACTCCTCCTCTGCGAAGAATCTGAGCTGAACACATCCCCTCAATTACTTCTGCAACAAATTCACTTCCAATGCATGGAGGAGCAAAAAGGATCTCATATTGAAGAAGCTCCTGCAACTGCTCAACCCTGTTATGAAGGGCTTGTCGTCCAATGCGTAACAAAGGTGTTCCCATGTCTTCTGCTCCTTCTTCACCATGTTGCTGTTCCATAAATACCCGGAATGAAGAGCCAAAGTAGCTCCAAATTGCTGTAGCTATACAATGTACAACGATTTATTCCTCACAACTTGACCTCAGAATCTTGAATGCAAAGCTCATAGATATGAAAATCTGTCTTACCAACAATGGCATCTTGATGAAAAGGGATAGCTGCCATATTGGCATAGTAGGAAAGAGCAAGTGCCCCTTTTGTCAAGAGGTTTGGCTTGTAAAAGTCCAAAAGATCCCTGCTTGCCTTCATGAGAAAAAAAGTCTTTGGCTTATGCCTTTCAATATGAACCAGATCACTTCCAAGAAGTTCAGCCTGCAAAGGAAAACAGTCCGGAGTGAATAAGACATCCAATCCATGGAAGACAAGAGAGGATGATGAACTCTGGAAGATGTTTTGTATGTATTGTATTGTAATGAAACAACACAGAGGGACTTCACTCACAGCATACATGATGATGTCTCTGGTCTGACCGGTGAAGCCAACATCAAAGTGGCGAGCTTTGATGGCATCTACAATGTATTCAAATTCTTTTGCTAAGACACAAATTGTCCCTCCTCTTCGCAGGAGAGTCAGAAAGACAAGGCTGAGGACCTGGGTTGACATCACAGCACAACATCTCATGCTATCTGCCAAGCACACAAATTTCTACATCAGCACTGTCATGGAATGCAAGCTGGAAGAAGCTCAACTTGTGCACAACCTTACATGCCCTTCTCCATAGTATTGATAAGCACTGCAAGACTCAAAGGTATCCATCCCCAATGCCCAATTTTAATTTTCATTCCAAAAGTAAATTTCAAGGGCAAGCATTCATCCTAAGCCACCCAGGGAGATGCTTTTCCAAGAAGTTTGAATATTGAAGACATAGATAGGACCTGAAACAACAGTAGAGTTTGTGGCATCCTTAAAAGTTAAATTTTTTGGCAGATGCATATTCCTGAGTGAAAGACAATCTTGAAAGAAAACTTTTTGACTTGACTGAAGCCTCTGACTGCTATATTATTAAGTACAGTGTTTTTCACTTGACTCAGATACTTGTGCATGGTATGTTCCTCATGCACGAGTGTAGAAGTCAAGTGGAAAAAAAGTCTTACTCAAGTGAAAAACACCGTAAATCTCAAAAAAAGGAAAGTCTCATCCAAGTAAATGATGGTTGACATGGTGTAATGTCACAGTGGGCCTGGGTAACCAGTTGACTGCCTGGCAGAAGGTATAAAGTCCATTCACTTTGAGAAAAGCTAGTCGGCAAACCAGGTTGACAGCAGCGATTCCTTGGACCCATTAAGTCATAAATTCATTAGGAGATTTCTGACAATTTTTCTTTTCACACCTGAAAGGGGATCATAAACCACTTGTTGAGGACTCATGTCAGACCTGTGTGAAAAATCAGAGTTGCCAGAAATGAAGAGAATGTTTCAAGCAGAAAAATTCGATTTTATTGGTGCATGTTGTGCCGATGTACCTGACAAGGTAACTTGAGAAATATTAAGTAGGAAAAGTCCACGACCCCTACATTTCATTTCCTCTCTCTTCCGTAGCACAGGTCATTGTAAAGACGAGAGAATATCCCTATTTGGCATCTCTGAACTGTCACCCAACAGGGCAGGTTGAGAAGGTGTTAATTGCACACCCTCTTTGCCCTCAGTCACTCATTAATCACGACAACAATCAGTCTTTGTGAGATAAGAAACTTGCTCTTCTCAAAGTGAATGGACTTTATATGCCCTATCCATGGTCTGGAACATCAGTTCAGAGCATGATGGCTGCACAACAGAAGCTTGTGTACATGTGAGCTGCATCCTCCTATTATAGATGTTAACCTCACTACTATGTTGAAGAGGGGTCTCTCAGTCAGGTCAAAACTGTAGCTTTTAAATTCTGATATCTTCAGACTTGATGAGCATGGGGCCTTTTACATAACTAAATATGGAATACAGGGTGGAGGAGGTTATCAAAGTTGTATTTCACGGGGCATTATGCAGTGCTTCTGACAGTACAGACCCCCTTTTTCTTCTATTGCAGTCTATGCCAATGATTCAGATAATAAATAACTGATAATATCTCACAAAAATACTCACCATAAGCAATATGGACTGAAACATGTCTGACAAACTGATGAAAGGTATCATCCTGAGGGCTCTGAAGTGGACACATACTGCTCCCTTCACTGAGCTTCTTCAGAGAAGGAGAATTTTCCAGTAATGGTATTGTCTCTGAATCCATTTGTGAAGACTGCAGTTCATTGATACTGGAATGGCTATTTGGGTGAGGCTTAATAACTGACTGGTGAAATCTCCCTTCTCCAAAGTCCTGCAGATGAAAAAAGATATAAATTATGCTAATCTTTAGAGATGCACTAGTGCAAGAGAATTTTATCCCTCATGAAAATTCATCTGCAAGAACCTTAAGTAAGCAGGGCTGACCAAAATCAACTCGAATATTGCCATAAGAAGATGTCATAATCCTCAAAATGCCCTGCAAAGTTCCAAGAAAGGATTCTGGGATTTTTGGTCGACCAAGATTTTCCCACACATATTCTCCCTCAACCAGCTTCTCATAGCTGATGCCAACAGGAACAATCCATGCATCTTCTATCAGGCCTTTCCTTTGAGCAGAGGCAATGATGCTCAAAATTCCTCCTAAAAAAAATTCAAATCACAACAAAATGAGACCTTCCAACTCTAGGTCTTCAGAAGGGAAGAATGAATTGGATCTTGTCAAAGATGTCAGAAGAAAGGAAGACACTTATTAAGCAAACAGGTTTTCATCCAGCCAATTGTGCAACTACATCCTTCTCTACACTCACAGCCATTCCTTCTCATAGAAATTTACAATGGCTTTACTATTGAACATTTATTAACCAACCACATATCTGCTCATATTTGATTCTATGGTCTATGCATACTTTCATTATACAACTTCTTATCATTTTAGATTTTATGGAACAGCAAAACCAAACAAACTGTTTACTAATGATTTAAATTTGGCTAAAGGAAATTCCTAAAGGCCAACCTTATTTTTCTGGTTACAGTATTAGACCTACCAAAAAATTACATGATGAATGACAATGAACTACATTACATGAATTACAACTCTTCAAATATATAGTTCAAGATTTTTTTGAAACAAGTATTCATCCATTCATCTAAATCGGGAGAATAACGTCCCAGCTTTTACTTAGACACTGCACAAGAAGTAAGTGGGAAAAGTCAACTCTAGACAATTTTCAATAGAACTTGAACTTCAGAAAGAAATGCCCACAGATTCCCTCTTGGCAACAAATAAATTATTCAAACTCCACAAACAATTAATGTCAGATATAGAGAAAAAAAACACAGCACTGCTGGGCTGCTTGCATCTGGAAATCAGTGGAAGCTACAGCTGTGTATGCCCTAATAGGAGTGCCACCTTTTCTTCTCTGATTTAAACTTTCTTCCTGAACCTTCCCCATACTGCTTGAGCCATAGAAGCACTTTGGAGTTTGCAAGTAAAATATTTGGAAATTGCTGCAAATCCAGGGAAACTTATCAGGTGGATGCATGATGGGCCATGCTTGCGCCTGGATGACAGCATTGAGCTGCAGTTTTATTGAAAAATCAGTCTTTGAATGAAGTCAGTCCACACTTTTGTCCTAAAAGCACACTTCAGTACCACTCCCTCAGTCTTAGACAACATCATGATCACAACTGATATGATAGACAAGTTGGCATGGAAGTGACCAAGGGTTCAAGGGAAGTGATAGTTCAATTAGAACAAGACTGCAGACAAGACTGAGATGATTATATTAAAGTATAAACCAAAGCATGATTCATGCTTGTGGCTATACATGCATACAAGGTCTGCTACCAGAACTTAATTATTCAAGCAGTTTTCACATACAATGTATGATCATAACTTAGGTCAGATCAAAACTCAGTGCTTGAAGGGTTAAATAGCTGTTTCATTTGTAGTTGGAAAAATGGAATCAAGCAACTGGAACCTGTTCATGCTGAAAAATGAAATCAGATCAAAAGAAAAACTGACTCTTGGGCTTTCCAGTTTGAGACCTGGCACCTTCAATGAAGAACTCAAGATAATGACCCTTGACTAGAAGTTGTTCAATGTAGGCTTGCAAGATGCATCGATACATATGGTCCTTCTGCATTTTCTGCCTTACGAAGAATACACCAAACTGCTTCAGCAAGGGTCTAAAAAGGATAGGAAATGTAAAACGTTCCAAAGAAGCAACAAAGGAGGTAACATATAAACCAAGGAACAATTTTAAAATAAAGCGACAACTACAGGGTAGCCCAAAAAATTTTCTCCATTTTTGACTGCTTTTATTCCAAATAAATTAAAATGAAGATTTCATTCTCACATCAGATATAGAACATATTTGTCTTGTTCCATTAAATTTACTTCCCAAAAAATTATTTTCAAGACCAAGATGTGCACAGACTAGACAGAAGTAAATAGACACTCAAGTTTGAAAGAGCATAGGCTTTTCTGCAACTGCACGCAGAACTAACAGGGTTAATACTTCCTTCCTTTGCTATGTACTTGTTCTTAGTTACCAATAATGTGTTCATCATGATCCTTGGAATGGCCCTTTTGAAACTCAGTGGGTGTCTATTTACTTCTGTCTTGTCTGCATATATTATTTCATAAAAGAGCACAAATTTCACATTCTCACAAGCCTCATCTTGTGAGATGTGCCTCATCTTGCCAATGTACCATTCTCAAAAACCATTCGTCAAGCTGCTTGCTCTAGGCCTGAGCTAGAAAGTCAGCAGATTGGCCTAGGCGTTACATGGTGCTTACAAACTATGCTAATTTACAGTAGTCACTTTCTAGTGTCATCACAGTAGTTCTAGACAATGAGGATTCAGTGATAATCAAAGTTCTCTGTAACATTAAAGGCAAAAGAGGCTAATAAAAAATGCAAGTTTTCAATCTGTTGGAGAAAAATGGAAGCTCTCAAAATTAGCAAAAATTGCAATGTTAAGCTTGTGTCATGGAAGACTCCTTGAGTTGCTATTCCTAACTATATTATTAAAATATTCATGTAGGTCTATTGTTTTTTTCTGCTTTATTTTCTGCCTTTTCAGAGTTGGCAAAGTGATTGGGTATGCAAAATTTTTCACTGCCTTAGTTGTAAAACAATAGCTGTTTCCTAATCCTGTGATTCATTAAAATAATTTTTAACGGAACAGGGAAGAGTTTTACACTGCATCTGGTACGAGAACCAAATGTTTAACTTAAATTACTTGGAATTGGCAAGCAGTTAAAAAAAAATATATTTTTTGGGCCACCCTATGAATTGTGGAGAAGGTTGCTATATGATGGTGACCCACCCTATAACTGCAATGTTCATATTCTCTTCAGCAGCCACCATAGGAACATGCATCCCCCTGCTGAGAAGGATGAATGAGATCAATATGTAGTCCATGTAAGACTTATGCAACGGCACATATATCACTGGATGAGGAGTCTCTGAGATCTGTTTGAGTGTTTCCAACTGTCCTTCATGTACTTGCACAGTGGAGAATAAGCAGGTGAGAATTTTGTATCCCACATAAAGGAGGAACCTGTATTGGAACCATTGCATTTCATTACTATTCAAGCATCCAAGCAAGGCATTTCTCAAAAAATATACTCCTTACAAGTATCATATCACCTATACCTTGCCAATCTCATATTTATCTGTGCAGCCATTGTTGACAGCATAGTATCAGCTCTTTCTCTTTCAACGGATTCAAAGTCCTCTAGATGATTAACTTCGACTCTTGTCCTTTGTGATTCATCCTGAGCAGCTAAGCAAATGGCAGCTTCCTTCTCAAGAGTTTGTAGAACAATCTGTGAAAGAAAAAAAACATTAAACCACATGCAGACAAATTATATTTACCATGCTTCCTGTGGCCCACCTCTTCAGGGATATCTTGATACTGCTGAGTGATGGGGAGATTCCAAATGAAGGACAAGTAGCATGTCCATCTTTTGAAAAACCATACATCTTGATTTTCAGTGGGTACCTGGAGCATATTTTTCAGTCCATAGCATTTGATTTTCTCATCTATATCGCCAGTTCTCTGCAAATGCAAAATGATGAACAAACATCAAAAAAACAACAAACAAACATCTACTGACAAGGAACTTGGGGTTTTTTCCAGTTATTTGAGTGTATTTGGACTAGTGATTCCTCCCCAAAAAGAGGCTTCAGCACCTAGTGGGTATTGCCCAAGAGCAAAGAAAAGTATCTCTCTTCAAATTGTAGAGAGCTAACAGAAAGAACAACATCCAGAAGAGAGTTCCATAAGAATTCTGTTCTAGGAAGAAAACTATGCTTCAGGTATTCTGGTTTTGAATCACCCAGGTCTAGGAAGAACAGGTTTGCATGTATCCTGTGTGAGGTTTTAAGAGGAGGAAGGAGAGAGGAGAGTTTCATGTTGGGATGAGAAAAGTAAAGGTGATAGAAGTGAAAGGTATTAGCCCAGTCAAAAGGGAATTGAACTTGAGGGCTTCCATGGGCCAGATCTGGCTTGCAGGTCGCCAGTTGCCGACCACTGGTATATGGACCTTATCAACTATGGACAAAAGGCAAATGAGATGGCAGAAGGATTTAAAAGGTCCCCAGCTCTGGGGACAGGAATATCAGCAGCTTTCCAGACAGATGGGAATCAACCTGCTTAAAGATTGATACAATAGCCAAGACAGAAGTTCAGAGAGTTTGGGTGCACAAATCTTCAGGAAAAGTGGAAATGTTGAAAAAGGACCATAGCTTTGGAACAATCCAGAGAGAAGTAAACCTTAAACATGGAAATTCTGATGGATCTGAGAGAAAAACCTGCTAGAGCTGAAAAATGAAGGAGTAGACTTGTTTTGCAGGCTACATATGGATGCAAAAGTATTGGTTGAGAAATGTAATTTTATGACCAGACTGGTGGCAAGAGTACTATTTGCCTGCAGGACTAGCATAGACAGCTTTGCCCTTGCATGGCTCACTTCACCAACTGCACCTGCAACTCTTTTGGCAGAAGAGACAAAGGTATGTCTCTCCTGCAGATCGGTAACATATTGGGCCTTGGCTTGTCTGCATATGGCAATGGCTGCTTGTTTAGCTCTGTGATACTCCTATTAGTCCATATAAGCACCTGTTTGCCTCTAAGTTTTGAAGGCATTTCTCAGTTTCTGCTTGGCATGCTTGTATTTGTTACTGTACCAAGGTTGAGAATTCTGCTTGATTTTACTGTTTTGATGGAACAAAGAAATCTATTGCCTTGTTAACTTTTTCTTGATAGAATCCAGTGGCTTTATCAAAACTGAATTTGCGATCTGGCCAGGGGATGGTTGCCATATGAAGGATAAGCCATTCCAATCAGTCTGTAGGTGGCAATAAATAGTCCTATATGGGAGGCAAGGGTTGGAACACAGAAGTCACCCAAAACATGAGCCACAATACAAGCAGATGAATCAAAGGGATTTGGGATCAATATAGAGTGATGTTCAGGGTGGGTTGTAAGAAATAAAGCTAGCTGGAAAAGGTGAAGTTTGTTATGCATATCTAAAAAAACTCAGAACAAAGAGCTCACAAGTGTAAAAGCCAAATGAACCTACCGTTTCCAGCACACATTTGCACAGGGACCCCATAAATATCCTAGAGTGTGCCTTTGGTGAATGTATGAAAGGGACCTTCTTGAAGAATGCAGATCCACGAAATACTTCCTTCCTGCTCAGCAACTGGTAAAAAGAATAGACAATTATGAATGCTTTCAGCAAACTAGAATGGCTTTGCTAGAATGTGAAATAAAATTCATTCTTATGCTTGAATTTCTGATGTATATAGTAAGGTGGGATAAGAACATACTGCAAATGAAAAATGCAATTTGCAGAAGTCTCTAATTCCTATTAAATTTGAAGTAAGATCATACTGTTTTTTAGCCATGTTGGGCAACCATTTTCCCTTCCAAACTAAAGATCATCTCCAAATGCACAGCCCCATAGAGTAATGGCCAATGAACCAAATGGAAGACTCGAAGGGTTCAATAACATAATGCTAAAATGCAAGTTGACAATAAGGCTGAAGCCATATTGTCATCAGAAGTGATGTCAACTTGGAAAAATGACAAGCATTAAACAATGTTGAATGTAAAATGGTCTAATAGGCATAATGCCAATTATTACAATACTGAATGCATCAAAGTGGGGAAAAACACCAAATCATCAAATTGTCTAAATCTGAAGGAGTTCTGGTCTATTTTGTTCCTGGTGTCCTGATATAATCAATCAAGGAAAGTAAATTTCTTCTTAGCCCTTGGGGCAACAAAGCCTTTCTTGTCAACTTATTACCTGTTTGCATCAGCCAGCATAGATGGTGTTGATTACATCAGTAACTGGTGCACTGCCACACAAATCTGTCAGTCAAATTGAGTAACCATGAGCAACCTGTAATAAGTGCATTCTCAGAAGGGTGGCAGAATGTTGATTGTGCATGAATACTTATTCACTTGTGAAAAGTGCATGAGGGAGAGTGTGCATTGAAGGTGCCAGAACTGCAGTTGTCAAACAAAAGTTGTAGAGTTCCTATACGATGAGGTGAACTGAACACCATCAGTTCAGAGGTGAGGCAATTAGTTTCTTCCTGAGCATGAAAAACAGAATTTGAGGAATCAGGATGGGAATATAAACATGACTGTGAAATAGAGTGGGTGGAGCATAAGAGCTGTTCTCTCACTTGTCATCAACTGCATCACAAATGTAATGAAGAAATCATCCTGTCCCGTTCTCATTTAGGAGACTACATTGAAAGAAATAAAAGTTCATTTTAACATTTCCCTCATGCGACATTTTGACTTTCACTGTTGCATTCATTCAATGTTCAGGAATTCAACATAATTGGTAATTGCTAATCCAACTGTCAATATGTGTGGTTTCAATGTTTTGTCAGGAGACTGGTTCAAAGCTCTGGACTAAGTCACTTGCGCATATACTGAAGGTCCTCTTTAATATATAGGGTGGGTCAAAAAAAACAAAGCTGTCATTTTTGGTGAGACGTCTATCTCATTGTAGGCTGCCGATTCTGATTAAAATTGGTATGCTGATAGGGTGACACAATTGGAGTTTGTATACCAAATTTCAGCCTTCTGGTTCTAATATTATAGGAGCTGTAATTATTTTTTGATGACCCACAACAAAATGTGCTGTCGAAAATATCGATATGAACTTGAGGCCAGGATGAAAGGAAGGACCAGATTCACAACCTTCCATCCCTGCATGATGCTGCAATGAAAGATTGGGAGGCATTGCCTCAAAGGTTTACTGACAGTCATTGATCCGTGGTGTCCCAGACAAGAGGCTTGTGTTAACAGAATGGAGGGCACATTGAGCACCTTTTCAGTTAAAATGAATATTCCTAAACCAAATTGTGTGCTTTCATTTTTGGCATTTGTACATTTGTATTTGTTCTGTTTGATTGCTTGTTTGTTTTAGTCAATTGTGAAAAATTTTAAGCAGAAAGAAAAATGAACACTTACATTTTTGGTGATGAAAAGTAAATTAAATATCAATCTCACAGTTTTTGCAATTGTTTTTTGAAACTCAGCACACAAACCCTAATTGAGTCACCCTATGTGTCTACCAAATTTATTCAGAATTGGCAACCTAAAATCAGATTTGCAATTTACCAAAAATGACAGCTTTGTTTTTTTTGGCCCACCCTGTATATTTACCTCCAAGCTTAGTAGCACTAAGATTATTTTTTTACCACCTTTTTAAACTCATGCCAGATGCATCTTACCACTTCTTCTAATCAGATACAGTCAACCCTTTAAACCCTTGATATAAGAGGGTTGTTCAGCAAGTAAAGTGAAAGTCATATGTCATAATGCCATTAGCTGACTTTTTATTCCTTTTCTTCCATAGGAATTAGGAAGTTCCAGTGAATTTTCACATAACTAATCGGCTAGCATGAGTGACCATAATTTGCAAAACTACAAGGGCCCTCCTTCTGAGGGGGCCTTGCAAAACCATGTCTTGGTGCCATGAAAGGCCTTTGATTTGACTTTATCATTGTGGCACACCAACTAAAAATTAGTGTCATGTCTCATCACCAGTTACTATCTCAGAGACATGTTTTAAGTGGCCCAGGTAAAATTTTTGGAGCATCATTTTGCAGAAATTCACATTCACCTGTATCAGACAGGTTTTTTGGGACCCAGTGGTTTACTATTTTTCTTGCTTTCAAATGTATGTCCAGAATTTTTTTCAATCCTGCTACTTCAATGCCAACAGTCTCTTCAAGAGGTTATTTTTGGATCATCTTCAATTAGATGATTGACTTTCTCCACATTTGCATCAATGACAGCAGTTTTTGGACACCCTTCATGTAGGGCATCATCAAGAACAGTCTGACCAGACAGGAACTGTGCAAACCAGTCATACATAAACTTTTTAGATATAGCTCCAATGTCAAAGGCTTAAATGAGCCTTCCATGGCATTCAGATGCATTCTCTCAGAGCTTGAAACATCAGAAACCGTTGCATGAAAATCAGTCCCACAACCACAGTTCAGAAGGGAAAGAGGGCTCATGTTTTTTCAAATTTTGGGCACTTATACAGGGCAAAAATTATATACAAAAACCTAAAGTCCTATAGAAGAAAAGAGAATAACAAGTCAGCTTCTGGCATTATGGCATATATAACTTTGACCAGACTTTCAGAACCCTCATAATGCTGTTGTTGATCATCACCTATTTTGGCACTATGGCATGTGTGGCACCAAATAGAATGCATTGCAGTAAGCTAGTAGCTATGATTGTGAAATCTCTGATGAATTTAAAATCGACTGTGATGCTTATATTGCAATTCTTATTCCCCTTTGATATTCTACCCTTGCCCAATACACTCTGTTCCACAGCAATGAGTCACCTCTCATGGTGGCAACAAATATGTAGCTGTGTTGAATAAGGGTTGCAGCACATATGCTACTAGGTGAAAAATCAAGGAAGATATATGTGGGAAAGAGCAAATTTGTACAAATGATTGCGTAGTTAGATGGTGGCTTGTAAGGGTGGTGCTATAAAAGGGGATTGCCCATTATAAGCTTATGGGAAAGAATTGTTTTCAGGAAAAAGCTGGCAACAAGCAAAGGTGACAGTATACCAAGTGGCATTATTTTAAGTGCTGACTGCATTTACATATTGCCATTGAAGCTCAAACCCTCTGACTCTGATTCAAATATCTCCAATGAAAAAGTAATGGGGGAAAAAGTATCCCTCTTAATAACATCTACATATTGAGCTCTAGAGCTATATGGCCATTCAAGTCTTATTCATATGAATTCTATGCGGCTCACTGACAGAAGTTCTGTCAGCTCAAAGAGAACAAAGATTGGAGTTCTTAAGCACAAGCATCATCTACTCAAAAAAGAAAATTTTCAAGAGTAGACCAGGTATACACTTACCTTGTCTTACTTAACAAATATAACTATTTTTCAGTATTTGTGTAATATTCTCCTCCAAGCTAACTTCCCAATCTAATTCTCCTCATTCAACAATGGTCCATGCCTCTGAAGAAAAAAAGAAGTAAATATGCCATCCATCCCTTGATGGCAACTCTCTGGGTAACAAGTGAAAAAACTCCAAATTCATGCTCATATGCATTAGGAAGTGTTCCACCATCATTACAGTAATGTCAGGAATAAATGGAACCTCTGAGTTTGACTAAATCAAAAGAATTCCTAATGTTCTTGTCTACAGGGTGTTCCAAAAGAAACTACCCACTGTTTGTCAGGGTATATCTCCTGGTAAAATGCATAGGCAATGATAATTTTTGGCGTGTGTATTATAGCCTAAAGAGAAAGTAATATACTCGGGGATGGCTGGAATATCTCGCCTTAGCATTGCAGAAAGGGTACAAATAGTCAAATGGCACGCTAAGTATGAAAATGTGACAGAAGTGCAACGTCAGTTTGAGAAAACTTTTGGGCATCGTCCCCCAGAACGGAAATCCATTGTAGCTCTAGTCAGAAAGTTCTATACCAATGGTAGTGTCCTTGATGGTGAAAGAAGTGGCAGGCCAAGAAATGCTGGCACAGAGGAAAGAACCAAGGCCATTTCAGAGTCACCCAAAAGAAGACCAAAAACGTCCATTTGTCGCCTGTCACAGGAGCTGGATGTGTCTCAATCAACAATTTTGCGCATTTTGAGAGAACTTGGTCTCAAACCATATAAGTCAATACTGATTCATGGCCTCTCAGATGGACAGAAGGACTGAGTTTTGTGAAGTGTTCTTGAAAATGCTAGAGAATGATGCCACTCTACTGGATCGAGTCATTTGGACCGATGAAGCAATTTTCAAGTTAAATGGTCACCTTAATCGCCACAACTGTGTGTACTGGTCCACAGAGAATCCAAAGATAACGATGGACAAGGTGGTCAACACGAAAGGTGTCACTGTTTGGGCTGGAATATGGTCTGGAGGTATCATTGGACCATTCTTTTTTGATGGAACTGACACAGGAAATTCATACCTAGCGTTACTCAACGAAAAGCTGTGGCTAGAAATCAAACACCATGTGGAAACAGAGCACCTTTACTTCATGCACCATGGAGCTCCAGCACATTTCAGTCAATAGGTACGGCAGTGGCTGG